CGGAGGTGGGGGCGTCGCGGGCCGGGTGTGGGCCGGGGCCCGGGGAGGGAGCATTGTGCCGGGCAGACACCCTGGGGTCGGGTCCCCTGCGCCGGTGTGGGCCCCCCAGTTCTGATCCCTTTAGGTGGCGGGGGAAGGGGAGAGCAGGTTCCGGCCAGCCTTGCGCTTTTCTCCTCCCCTCCTCCCACCGATCCTCCCCACCGTCTCCGGGGAGGCCGGGCCCATCTTCTCCCGGCGCCCCCTCGGCTCACTCCACCTGAGTGGGCGGGGGCCAGCGGACACTCCACTCTCTCCCTGTGGTGGGAACTCCCCCGAGAGAGTCGGTTCCCGTCTCTTCCCGTGCCCTGGAGGGCTGGTGTAACCCCCCAAACTCCTTCCTGGCCTTAGGGAGATCGACTCCTCCGCCCAGGGAGAGGGCTTCCCCCCATTCCCTCTTCGAGAGGGGAAATGAAGTCGGCTCAGCTTCTCCACTCTGGGGAGGCGAGGGTTAATTTCTCCTCCTCCATAGTTTTCCTCCTCGCCACCTCCCCCAAAATAATAGAAAAGCATCTCCCCACTTTTCTTTATCCCTTCCCCCCTATCGCGGCAACAGGGCTTAGGGGAAGAAGAAGTCACTCTTCCATTTGCAGGGTGGGGTGGGGTGGTTAGTCTGTAGGCTGGAGGAGGGGCGCAGACGGTAGGGGAAACAGTTGAAGAAGGTGCTTGTTGCTCATGTTTCTCTCTCTGGTGCCGCTGGTCTATTATTGGTGTTCGCAAGTGGTGCTCCTTCCACATAAGGCCACCGCGCGGGTGCAGGGCGCATGCTCTGCCCGGCCCCATTGAAACTTCCTGCTGCTGGTTCTTTTGCTGGAGCATCTCGAGCGCTGTGCTTGCGGCTTGCAACACTCACGCACCGAGCGCTCACACTCTTCCCCCGTTAATCCTGATCCATGCCGCTCCTTTTCTAGCACTTTATTTCCCTTAGAGAAGGCTTATTTGTGTACTCCGAACATTGCCTTTGTCTGGGTACAGCCTTTGGCAGAAGAAACGTTTTCTAAATAGGTCTCCCCCTCCCCTCTTCTTTTTCTTTTGATCTGCGTGTAGATGACCAGGGATGGGCTGGGTATTGTACAAGACATGATAGCTATGACCTTTCTAAGAAAGCAGAGTCGATTTTCTGTTCTCCATGGAAATGAAGTTCCCGATATGATGAATTTACATAGCTAGGGAAAGGCCCGAGTATGAAGTTCTTCAAAGTAACCTGTAGTGATATACGATGTTACCGAAGATTAACCCTAAGGCGGTTCTTAAGCTGCTCTTTACCTGTCTCTTCCGAGAAACTTCTCACTGTTGCCTTGTCTGCCCTGGAACTCTGCAGACCTTACTGGCCTGGAACTCTTAAAAATCCTCCTGCCTCTGTCTCCTCCCATGTGCTAGGATTAAGGCGTTTGCCGCCGTGCCCGATACATCTCTCTTTATCGGTTCGCATTTTTTACACTCTCTCTGGCTAAAAAAAAAAAAAAAAAAAAAAGTCTACTTTTTTAAAACTATGAAATTAGTGAACTTTATATTAAGACTTTCTGCTGAATTTCTTTAATCATTAAGCTTCTGGTGTATTAATTTCGTTATTATATTTACATTCTTTTTGAAGGAAATAGTTACTGTGAAGTAGGATACCTTAAGTTAAGTTTTAGAATACTTTAGAAATAATAGTAATTTATTTGTCAGAGAGAAAATGTGAGAATTTTAGGGAAACTGATGGTAAATTTTTTTAGAATTTATTTGGACGAAGTTAAGAGGCAGGCATGGGTACCATTGCAGTTTGGATAGCAGGTAAGCCTGCGTTCCCTTGAATTTTGACCAGTGTACTTATTTTGTATTAGTACTGGAAGAAAAAAAATCATTAGGGACAGTTTGATATGTCTAGCGTTGAGCTTTGGGCCATCAGCTAAGCAAAAGTTGGATTAAGGAATCATTTGTCTCAGCCACAGCATTGCCATTGATAGAGTTGCTAAGAGGATTGATAATAATAGATTCTGTCAAAATCTAAGAATAATTGTTAATTAATGTCACACTGTTCAAGACACATGGCAAATGAAAAGTCTCTCTGGAAGGTGGAAGTTTTTCCTGTGCAGGAAAAAGATTTCCAGAACTTTGACGATGTCTCAGACAACTTATAATAATTAGCGGGTAAGATTGACTCAGTCTTTGGGGAAAGAGTTTGGTGTGCTAGTAAGAGCTGAAAAGCTGGGCTTTTGTGTTAAGCAATGTGATGTATAGCTGGTAGAGCAGTTGTTTCGGTAATATGGACCTCAGTTTCTTCAGTAGACAAAGGTAATGGCATAGGACCAAATGAAATGTTTCAGAAAACCCTTTCAGAAACAAATAGTCCTGTATTACAAATCGCACTAAAGATATTTTTCAGATAAAAGATAGGTAGTACATTTGTAATTAGCCTTAAGTTTTTAATAGGTTGGGAGTGCATAGGGTTTATAGTCTAGCAAGTTTTGCTTTGTATAAATTTTATTTAAAAAACAGTTCTAGTGCCATTTAAAAAGTTGTAATTGGGCTGGCCGGATAGCTCAGGGCGGGAGTGCAAGCTACATGTGGTTTAGCACACACATGCACACAGTAAATGAAAAAGATATATGTTTTATTTCTTCATAGTGTTGAGTGGCTCTTAGACTGTGTATGTGTTTGTAAAGATTTATTTATTTATTATGTATAGTGTTCTGCCTGCATGTATGCTGCAAGCCAGAAGAGGGCACCAGATCTCATTATAGATGGTTGTGAGCCATCATGTGGTTGCTGGAAATTGAACACAGGACCTCTGGAAAAGCAGCCAGTGCTCTTAACCGCTGAGCCATCTTTCCAGGCCTTAGAAGATGGTTTTATGTGTCTTTTCCAGTCCTCTGCTCCCCCAACTGGGATATGGAAAGAAGATAGTTCAGTACTTGAATGCAGCATTTATTGAAGTAGAATTAGCAGGATGATGGTGTTCTTTGGTAGAAGCAAGTTTATTGATTTGTCCATTTAAATGCTTTGTGACCTTTTTCCTAAAAAGTCGTTTGCAAGCTTTAATTTGGTCCTGTGGCTTCAGATTAGGATGCCTTGTTCCCTCTAGCTGCCATGGAATGGAAAATAGAACTGGTGTCCATTCTAATTCCAAAGCATGATAAGTTTGTTCTGTGCCCCATAGTAAGATTCCATAGGTTATTCTGGTTGTTTAAAGAGAAAATAAAACCATGAAAAATTTCAATTTTGTTAGATTCATTTTTCTTTTTTAAAAAGGAATTGTATGCGTCCTGAGGGTTTTGCCTACCTGTTTCCACATGAATGCATGTGGGCCCGGAGTACTTGGAGGTGGGAAGAAAGCATCAGATTCCTTGGAACTAGAGTTATAGATGGTTGGAAGCCACCATGTGAGTGCTGGAAATCAAACCCAGGTTCTCTGCAAGAACGAGGAATACTCTTAACCACTGAGTCATTTCTCCAGCCCCGAGATTCCCTTTTCAAATGGTTCGCAAGGACCTAATGTTATTTATTTATTTTTTTTTGCAAGAAGGCTGCTTCAAGATTACTGAGACATCAAGGGTACCATGAATCTAAAAGCTTGGGAATCTGCTCTAGAGACTATCATTACCCTTTGGGTCTAGAAAGAAGGGACGACTGTCACTTTATCTTACAGGGAAGAGAAACTTAGACACAGGGATAGATAGATTTCAAGCACATACCCCTGACCATTGGTGTTATTCAGACTGTGGTTTGGAAAGCCCATGAAATTATCAACCATGGGGCTGGAGTGATGGCTCAGTGGTTAAGAGTACTGACTGCTCTTCCAGAGGACCCGGGTTCAATTCCCAGCGCCCACATGGCAGCTCACAACTGTCTGAAGATCCAGTTGCAAAATAAACCATAAAAATATTTAAAAAAAAAGAAATTATCAACCATGATGAATTCATAGTTGAGACAGGATTTCTCTTGTTTGTGACTCTGTGCAGCCTATTATAGAGTGGAGCTTTGGGACAGTTTTTCTGTCTCTGCCTCCCACATTGTCATTGGAGGGCTCCGGTTATAGATGTCATACCTGACTCTGGGTTCAAGTGATGGAACTACTTTATGTACGGGCCCATCTCCTGGTCCCTGAAAGACAGGGCTTCTGTTCCATTTGTTATTCTTTTGTTTTTGAGACAAAGTCTCACTGTGTAATACTAGCTGGCCTGGAACTCTTTTAGAAGCAGACTGAGCTGGTTTTCAACTGAAGGAGATTTGAGGCTTTTGAGGGCTGAGATTAAAGGGATGTGCCACCCCCTGCCAAATCTATCTATCTATCTATCTATCTATCTATCTATCTATCTATCTATCTATCTATCTATCTATTTGAGGCAGGGTTTTGCTGTGTAGCTTTGAAGCCTGTCCTGGAACTCACTATGTAGATCAGGCTGGCCTCATTCACAGAGATCTGACGTTCACCTCTG